ATTTATGCTCACATCGATAATTTACACATGAAGAGACAATAAATGAGAATTAATTGCATTAAGCATAAAGTTTGCGATACTAAAGTATTTTCATTTCACCTGAGATTTTTCTTATAATTCACTTTTAGCACATTATTATCATCTACCTCTGGTGAGGACCTAGTTATTGATTTTAAGCATTTGTACAGATTCTGGCCTTCAATTCAATATATTTATATTTATATGAATCACTTCTATTTATTTTTAATGGCTCATTCCTTTTTTTTAGTCTTTCCCATTCACACTATTATGTTCTGGATCTCTATATTCCCATTCTTCTCCTCAGGTCCAAGGCTTGACTTCCATCTCACGCCCGAGTGGCCGAACTACGGGGAGTCCTACTGCCATGTTGAGCCTGCTCGCTCCTTACCAGTTTACCAGTTGCGTTGGAGTTTACTTCAATCCTACCAACCCTTGACGAATGACCGATTTTCGGCCATTTTGAGACTTTCTTTTAGACCTGGCCTTTCTGGCCGTTCTGATGGCTATAATGGCATTCAATCTTTATCGACTTTATTTTCTACTTCAATAATTGATAGACTACCCGGTGATCCTTCTGAGGAAGCAGGTTTATCCTCCAGGTCTTCTCCGTATCTGACTGTTGATAAAACTAGCCGTCAATTCTCAACAGGTGATGTATGACGAGTCCGCTTATTATATGTATCCTACTATCAACTACCCACTCACCTCGCTTATCTTCTCTTTAATCCCAGTACCAACTTTGTTTTTTTGTTGGCGAAGTCTTTAAATTATGATCCTTAATTGGTTTGTCTAGAACTTTCGCTCCTTCGATGAATATCTCAGTGGAAATTACCTAGGATAACAAGCATATGGAAATGGTTTGTGAAGGGTTGAAAAAACGTATTCGTAAATAAAAGGAAATTAATTTAATGTGTATTGGAATTCTCTGCTGACTTCCAGGATAGCTATCTTCGGGACCTTAATTTAACAACCAGTATGCCATTCTTTTATATAAGAAAACAATGAAAATAAAAATGATGTTGTCTAGGGGCATAAATCTAATTTTTTTTTCAC